TTTTTTGCAGTTCTTCACTCAATAAACATTTCTTGAGTGCTTAAGTGGGCTGAGTATTAGACTGGATGATGGAAATTGGAGGAGTAATAGAAATATATAATTCTTGCCTCTGGGACAGATTGACCAATTGACTCAGGCACATTTGACAAAGCCACTCTAGTACACGGGATGGTATTTTGTCCCAGTGGGAAATTGATTAGGAGATACTCAGGAAACAATTCGTCAAATGATAGATGTATTAAGAAAAACCTCCTGCTGGACTGGGGCCTGGACTAATGAAAATTTAATTACTTATTAGATATGTGGGTGATTTCCCTGAGAATGGACTTTATGGTCAGTAGTTGAAGGTTTAGGAGAGAGAACATGACAAAACTGAGCTGGGACAGAACGAGGAATTTCCGGGAGAACAGTGATTCAAGAAGAGACAAGAAAGACACAAGGCTTACTAATGCAGGTCTTGATGTTGTATGTATTTGTCTTTTTTTAGCAGAAAGCTGCTTCTGGTTTTTTTTTTTGGGGGGGGTTGTGTTTTTTTTTTTAAGTTTTTATTGTGAATTGAGTGATAGTTTACATGGAAGAACATTGGCTTTACATTCATCCTATAGTATTTTGTTTCATTGCAATGACTATAATCCCCTCCATGCATCATCAACAGTATTTGCTTCCATTCCCTCTGTTTTTTGTTTTGTTTTGTTTTTTGATGTACACCGAAGCACTCAGGAATATATAACCATTCAAACAACCAAAGGACATACCCCTGCAAGCCTACCCCGTCCCCGGCCGCCAGCACATAGTCCCTCTCCCTCCTTGAGTCTAGAGTCCCCAGCCTCTCCATCTCTCCATGTCATCATCTCTGCCTCCATCTCTGGTGTTGCTGCTTCTCTGGATAGGGTCCTGTACCCCGCTCTTTCCCCTTGATGGTCCCAGGGTCCTCCACTCCTGGACTGTAGAATCAACCACTCCCCTCCTTTTGTTACAAAACATCTACCTTTACATTTGCAACAATTGCAATGAGTCCTGATAACAATTATTCACTATTGAACCACAAGAGTCTTATCCCCATCTCCTTTCACCCGACCTGTCTAGACAGGTTGAAAACCACTCAGTGGAGATTCTACCTTCCCCCGCACCCTCTGAAACTAAGCTCCCTCTTAAAAACTTGTAAGCCAGTTACTTTGTGCCTTTATTGTTTCCCCCCTCCCCCCCCCCCCATTTTAGGTAGCCAATATCTAAGTTGCTCATCGCTGTCAACCCTGTGTACAGAGGGGGTGGGAATGACCCTTGCTTGAAGATTTCTTCCCTCTTTTAAGCTACTACATACATCCATAAGTATAGGCCAAGTTCATCAAATTGTAGCAGATTACACTTCTTTTCCTCTTCTTTCTTTCTCTGCTCGAGTTCTGATCATCCAGCATTGAAGCTAGGTCAAATGGGTCCTATCTGTAAGTACAGGCATTCTTGTGCATCTCCCTCACTTCATATCAGATGTATGCTTCACTCTCAGCTCTAGCCCTCTGTGACTATGTCTCTGTCCATGGGCTCAGGAGTCCCCGGGTCTCGCCATATTGCTGGCCAACCAAGTTTCACTCCAGGTTGACGGGAGTCTATTGAACATGGTTGAACTCAGCCCACAGTTTCATTGCTGTTTTTCCTCCACTTCCCCTTATCGGTAGACCAATGTGATCACCAGCAAGATTGCACGCGTGCATGTGTATTCCCTTTGAATTTCAGTCTTGGAAAGGGGTTTGCCCTGAAGGGACTTGATTGCTTACCTTGATGGTTCCCCTGTGAACATCTTGCTTCTTCTTGTAGTCGTCAATCAGACTGCCAGTTTTGTTTCTTATTTTTCCTGCTGGTCTTTCTTTCAAGAGGTCTTTCTTTCTTTCTTTCTTCTGTTCCTCTAGCTTCTCCAGGCTAGTCTGGCTTGTCCTTTCAAGTGGAAATTTCCCACCTCAAAAGATTCTGGATGGGGATCAGGATTCCACCTAACTTCTCATAAATTGCAAAGGCTCCACAGGAAGCCTCTTTCACTAGGCATGTTCTAGTTTACCTTTTAGGAATTCCAGTCAGTTATAGGCTGAAGACAGGCTTACAAGCTTTCTATAGTGATATTTCTGGCTATTCCTTTCTCTCCCCCTCAAATGTCTATTTTACAATAGCAGGCAAGGGAAACCAAGATTCATAAGACAGTCAAGCATCTTAACAATATTTCCACTCTTTTACACATTCAGACTATGCATCAGAGCCCTGTTGTTCCAAGGTTAAACAACCATCACTATTTAACTCTGTCCCATTTAATCCATGCAAACCTGCCTAAATGTTCTCCTGTCTGCCTTGGTCTTCCATCCCCCTCCCACTTCTTGTGTATTGCCCTCCCCAACACCAGAAGTATGATGTGTCTATTCCCTACCCTGTGCTTTGCTGTCCCTCCCTCCCCACCATCTCCCCATCTCCATAACCAACAAAGTTTTTTTTTTTTTTTCCTTTTAGTACGGATATCTTTTCTTAAGCTTTTTACAGCAATGGTCTTATGCAATATTTGTCTTTTTGTGACTGACTAATTTTACTTACTGCAATATGCATATGTTACAACCTTGTTTGCTGAAAGTGAAGAGGACTTAAAACATTTACTAATGAAGATCAAAGAGCATAGCCATCAGTATGGATTACATCCCAATGTAAAGAAAACAAAATCCTCACCAACTGGACTAATAAATCGAGAAAAGATTGAAGTTGTCAAGGGCTTCATTCTTCTTGGATCAACTATCAATTCTCATGGAAGCAGCAGTCAAGAAATCAAATGATGTGTCGCATTAGGCAAATCTGTTGCACAAGACTTTTATAAAGTGTTGAAGAGCAAAGATGTCAGCTTAAGGACTAAGGAGTGCCTGACCAAAACCATGGTATTTTCAATCACCTCATATGCATGCGAAAGCTGGACAATAAATAAGGAAGACCATGGAAGAATTGATGCTTTTCAGTTATTGTGTTGGAGAATATTGAAAGTACCATGGGCTGCCAAAAGAACAAACAGATCTGTGTTGGAAGAAGTGCAGCCAGAGTGCTCCTTAGAGTCCAGGATGGCCAAATTTCATCTCTCATACTTCAGACATATTGTCAGAAGGGACTAGTCGCTGGAGAAGGATATCATGTTTGGTAAGGTGGAGGGTCAGAGAAAAAGAGGAAGACCCCCAATGAGATGGATTGGCCAATTGGCAGCATCGATGGACTCAAGCGTGGCAACTGTAGTGAGGTTGGTCCAGGACCAGGCAGTGTTTGGTTCTGCTGTGCATAAGGTCGCTATGAGTCAGTACCGACTCGATGGTACCTAACAACAACAACAAATCCAAATTGGGGAGGGGCTACAAAAAAAATCCTCACTACTGGGCCAATAAACAACATTCTTATCAACGGAGAAAAGGTTGAAGTTGTCAAGGATTTCATTTTTCTTGGATGAACTATAAACACTCATGGAAGCAGCAGTCAAGAGATCAAATGACGCATTGCATTAAGCAAATCTGCTGCACAAGACCTTTTTAAAGTGTTGAAGAGCAAAGATATCAGCTTGAGAACTAAGGTGCACCTGACCCAAGGCACTGTATTTTCAATAACCTCATATGCATGCGAAAGCTGGACAGTGAATAAGAAGACCGTAGAACAATTGAT